CTGGAGTGCAGTGGCCGCTCCCGGCCACCGCAGCCTTGACCTGCTGGGCTCTGGCGATCCTTCCGCCTCAGCCTTCCCAGTAGCCGGAACTACAGGTGCGCGCTACCACGCCCGGCGGATTTTTTGATTTATTGTAGAGATGAGGTCTCACGAAGTTGCCCAGGCGGGTCTCGAACCCGCGGGCTCAGGCAATCCACTCACCTCAGCCTCCCAAAGGCGTGGGATTACAGGCTGAGCCACCGAGCCCGGCTCTCTCTGGATTTTTTAACAGAACTAGCTACTGGGTTACAAAGACGTTGTTCCCTGCTCCCTCTCTTGCCCAGTCCTCCACTCTCACCCAGTATCAGGACCTGGGCCATCAGGAGAAATTCCGCTGGGAGATGGCCATGACATTGAACATGGCCCTCAAAGCATGAACAGGATTCAACAAGGAATGATCAGAACGTCAGGACACTCCAGCTGACTGAGAGGGAGGTCACCATCAGTTGAGACAAGTCGCTTTCTAGGGGAGGAAAATATTGGGGCTAGTGTGAGAAAGAAAATTGTGGAAAGTTGAATTTTAGGGACCTTCGATTGGGTGACCATCTTGTAGTGTTTCAAGATCATCTTGAGTCAGGCCACATGTCAGCAGGATCCGATTTTCCTGGGGACTCTGAGGGAGAAACCATCCTTGGTCTCTCTCCAGTTTCTGGTGGTGGCTGGTGATCCCTGACATTCCTTGGCTTGCACCTGCGTCACTTTGGTCTGTGCTTCTGTCTTTTCTCTGTGTCTGTGTCAGATTTCCCTTTTCTTAGACGGACACCAGGCATTGGATGCATTGGATTTACCACCCACCCTAGTCCAGTATGACCTCATCTTACTGATTACATCTGCTAAGACCTATTTCTAAATAAGGTCACAGTCACAGGTTCCAGGGGGACATGAATTTATCCTTTTCCTGACCCGGAGTTGCTATGTCCCCAGGCTGGGCCATCTCATGGCCCTGGTCTGGAAGGGCTGGAACAGTTAGACAACATTGAAAGCATGTCCTCAAAGGCCACAGGCTCCAGGACAGCCAAGAAGACCACGCGTGTCATTTCTCTTCTCGCCCAAAGGGTAGAGGTGGTGGATGAGGACGGACCTTCTGAGAAGAGCCAGGACCCGCCTGCTCTGGCAAGATCCACTCCTGGCTTGAGCAGGTAATCAGTTGCTCATCTCCACCTGGGACTGGTGGCTGCCAGACCTGCTTGCCACTTAGTCACTATGGAACCTCTGTCAGGCCACCTCCCTGCTGGACCTCAAGGTCAGTGTCCCTATGTGCCCGGTGACAGGATGGGGTACATCCAGCTGGATGTCCCAGGGCTGAAAGAAAGAGAACAGTCCAGTCTCCAGAGACAGAGTGCCTGGCTCTTGTCTGCTTAGGACGGATCTGTGTCACCTTAACCCTTGCATCACTGAGCCTTGTGGCAGCACAACCTTGAGGTTTGAGAGGGTTGGCCACCATGGCAGCAGCCTACCACGGGCAGGTTAGCTCATGGCACTGCTGTAAGTAGACCAAGTTCAACCTGCCCGGGGAGGAGACTCTGCTGTGTCCCTGCCTCTCACAGCTGTCTTCTTTGCCAGCATGAATGGAAGCGGAAGCAAAGTGTCTGGGGCGACTTGGATGGAGCGCATGCCGAGTGGGCCTAGCCCTGCTGGGAGCCAGGAGCTCAGGTGGGTGCTGAGAGCTGACTTTGGCCTGTGATCAGGTGTGACAGTTTTCTGCTGGCCTGACAGGCTGAGCGCTGGTGATCTCACTCCAGGAGGGGCCATGATTTGCCCTGATTTCTGAGCCCTGAGTGTCTGGGCGGATAATGGTGCCCTCTTGTCTGCAGACCAAGAGAAATCAATAGCCCCTTGTGCTGTGTGCTGAATGGTGCTAAGTCCTGCAGGGAGCACCACCACCCTGCTGTCGTTGCGGTTTCAAGTGTGAGCCTGAATGGAGACCTTGGCTCGGGCTGCACCCTGTAGCGCCTTTGGAAGACCTCAGAGGCCAGAAGGAGAGAGTGCTTGTTCCTACAGGTCACTTCTGGGGCCCCCAGGGGCCGTTTAACTTCCCTACCACAATTGTGACTCCCCAGCTCGGACTCCACAGCCGCATGTAGACGTATGATGGCCACTCCCGGGGTTACTTCCCCTGGCCTGGAGTTCCTGACTCTTCTGTGTATGTGTCTCCCTTCTGGCACAGAGAACGTGACCCCGAGAATGATCTTCTTCACTCCCTCCCTCTTGTGATTCTCTCTGGTTGAGCAACCCTCCCCATAAGAACTTCTGTTCATAAGAACCTTTAAAGACATGGGAAAGACTTGCGAGCTCTTGACAAGGCAATATCTAGGGACTTGGCAATGGATGGGCTACCGGATCCGAGTACCACAGGCTGAGGAGCTTAAACCACAGACGTGACCTTCTTCCCAGTTTCAGAGGCTAGAAGTCCAATCAAGACGTGGGTATGGTTGGTTCCTTCTAGCGCCTCTCTCCTTGGCTTGCAGATGGCCATCTTCTCCCTGTATCTTCACGTGGTTGTCCTTCTGTGGGTATCTGTGCCCTAATTGTCTCTTCCTATAAGGACACCAGCCAGAATGATTAAGGCCCACCCTAATGACCCTATTTTAGTTTCATCTCTTCTTTAAAAGCCCCATCTCCAAATACAGTCATATTCTGAGGTACTGGGGGTTAGGATTTCAACACAGGGATTTCAGGGGACACAAGTCAGTCCATAACATATACATTTTTCATGTCTCTTTTGAAAAAGGTAGCAAATGGTTGGAGATGCCTTTTAAAAGATAACGTAAGAGGAGAATTAGGTTATGATGTGCTATGGATTTAACAGGCATCTTGACATTTATTCCAGAAAATTCCTTTGGATGTTTAATATCCATCCTATGGCTGTCATAGCAAGGTGGCTTTCTTAGTTTACTCTGGCTGACATCACCAAGTACCAAATTGGTTGGTTCAAACACCAGAAATAGATCGTCTCCCAGTCCTGGAGGTCAGAATTTCGAGATCTTGGTGTGGGCAAGTGGGCTCCTCTGAGTCTGTAAGGGAAGGATGTGCTCAAAACCTGTCTTGGTTTGGAGAGGGTCATCTTCTCTCTGGGTCGCTTCCTATCATCTTCCCTCTATGCGTGTTTGTCTTCGTTTCCATATGTCGCCTTTTTATGAGAACACGTGACATATTGGATCAGAGCCCACCCTGATGACTTCATCTTAACTTGGGCACCTCTGTAAAGACCCTGTCTCCAAATTTTGAGGTGCTGGGACTCCAACACGTGAATTGGGAGTAGCAGGAGACACAATTCAACCCACAATAGGAGCTGAGGAAGGCAAAGACTTTAAAGTATCAGTCTGGAGCAGCTCGGAGGCTGCCACTGCAGAGCTGAGAAGGCTGGGAGACCAGGGACTCGGGAAGAGGCTGTGTTTAGCTCAGGACATGCTGCCCGAAGGAACTGCCCATAGGGCCATGGCCCATAGATGGGTGGCTCCAGGCATCCAAGGAGCCACCAGAAGCAATGGGGGAGAAGAGTGACAAGCAAACTATGCCTGGATTAGCAAAGCATCCCCAAGCTTGAGGACTGGGGGCACAGAAGGAGCCTGGGGTGCTCAGCCTGGAAAAGAACAAACTCTGGGGCCACAGCCACCATCTTGGGGCTTGTGAAGGACTGATGTGGGAAGGGAAAGTAGAATGATCTTGCCTGTGTGGCCTCAGAAAATGGAATTAACACCACATGATGGAATGTTCTAGACACCAGAGCTGTCTCACAAAGGGGCAACTTCCATCAGTAAAGCTGGAGACAGGGGTTCAATCTCACAATAGAGGCTCAGCTTGATCCTTTGAATAGTTCTTCCCTCAGATTCTGCAGTCACCAAATATTCAGAATCCACCAGGTAGCTTCCAGGTGACCTGGTGGTTGACCCTGTCTTTGGGGGCTTCATCTCTGACCCTAGCCCCTCAGGTGCTGCACTGTGTTGGGTGGCCACCATCGGTACCCCACACCCGGCTCCTGGCCGTCTGGGAAGAAAACTCTGGATCCTGCAGCACCCCAGAAAAGGTTGGGTTATGGCAGAATGAGAGAGGGGAACGCCACGGCCTTGTCCCCAGCCACGGCCCCACCAAAACTGCCCTTTTCCTAGCCCTGGCCCTTCCCTGTCACCCTTAGCTACAGTCTGAAGGTCAGCACCTCATAACTCCTGCTCACCTGTGACCTGCACTCACTCAGGGACCCCAGACCTGGCTGCCTCACCCCTTCCAGTGCTGGTCCAGCTTCCTCGGCTCTCTGTCCTGGTCTTAGGCTGTGCCCCTAGCATGCTGTCTGACAGAGTTCCTGGCGAGCAGTGAATAAAAGCATGGCTTCTGGCACAAGAAAAGACCCTGGCTTTGCCTTATACTGGCTGTGTGACCTTGAGCAAGTCTCTTCACCTCTCTGTGCCTCAGTTTCCCCATGTGTAAAACAGGAAGAACAGTAATAGCTACTTCCCAAGGCTGTCCCTAGTTCAAAATGGCATTTGCGGGTAAGTGCTCAGCACACTGCCTGGGTGTGGGTGCCCTTGGGTGCCCTGGATCAGCTGGGCCCCTGTTCGAATGCAGGGGGTAACCATTATCGCCATCTCCTGACATCTGAGGGAAATACAACTAGAGGCAATGAAAAGGAGGTAACCCCACCTCCCCCCTCTTCAGACAGGGCAAGTCATGCCCTCTTTGGCGCAGACCACTGTCACACGCATTCCCACAGGTGGCTGGAGCCACAGTGGACGTTTCTTGATCAGTTTGGGGCCTCGACCTTCTGGAATGCCCGGTTCTGTGTTCTGTGAGTGCCTTTCAGAGGCGTGCAGACTTCCAGAGTGTTCCTGGCCTGCAGTAGCTCTCAGCCCAGCTGAGGACTTCAGATTGGACCAGAGCTGTGTGAGGTCGAGGGTCTGGAAAGGTGCTTGGGCTGGTAGGGGCTTCAGGGGAGGAGAGGCCCCTGCGGGAGTGTCCTGGGATGCTGTAACAAGATATCAGACACTAAACAACAGGAACATATCTTCTCCCTCTGGGAGCTCTGGGGAGAAGCTGTTCCAGGCTTGTCTTGTAACTTTTGTTGCCCACAGTCCTTGGCATTTCTTGGCTCACGGCTGCCTCACTCCCTGGGTGTGGGTGCCCATCTTCCCATGGCTGTCTTCCCTCTGTGTGTCTGTGTCCAAATTTTCCTCTTCTCGGGAGGACACTTTTCACCAGATTAGGGCCCATCCGCTCCACTGTGACCTCGTCTTACCTTGGTTACATCTGCAAAGACTGTCTTCCCACATAAGGTGATAGTCTCAGATCTCAGGAGTTAGGACCTCAATATGTCTCTGGGAGGGTGGGTCACAATTTAGCCCCATAACCGGCCCCCTGGAATACGTGCCATTTGTGCTTATCTTTAAGAAAACATTGCTTAAGGGATGACAAAGGTGAAAGAGACACCGAGGAAGAGACGCCAGCAAGAAAATGTGATCTACTTGCCTGTAACAGCCACAAGACAGGCATGTCCCTGTTTCCTGGCACCATGTGCTTTTCATGAGGCTGAGTGGGACCAGCAACCCAAGGCTTTATGCTGTCATCAATGATGTCATCCTCGACAACGATGTCAGCATTGTTATCACCAGAGGAGATATGCAGAAGTCAGAGCTGCCCATGTGTACTGGGCCTCTCCTGGCTGTCATGGTGGGGAGATGCCCTGTCCCTGGCAGTCCATCCAGCTCCCTCTGGTCACCTTCAAGTCCCACTCAGGGTGAGGTGGAGGGACAGAGATGAGTGTCCCACAGACCCAGTCCTCCAGGGGCTCCCGGTTCAGGTTGGAGTCAGACATACACCGGGGTCAATTCCACAGCTGGCTGAGAGCAGCAAGCTGCCCCACTCCCTGCTTTCACCCTGGTCCCTGGAACCCCTGCCCCTCCTGGTACCCCTGAGTGGTCTTTCTAAAGTGTCAGCATCTGATGCCATCAATCCTCACCCCCCACTCCAAGCCCATGCCACTCCTCCCTTACTCATATCCGATCTGACCTCTGCATTCAAAACCACAGACAGCCTCCACCTCCTTTCCCGCCATCTCTCTTCAGCTGGCCAGAGTGTCCACAGGGCTAGATTTCTGTCTGGGCCCCATGTGCTTTCCATGAGGCTGAGTGGGACCAGTTCCCATGCCTCCCTATCCCCATACTGCTCCCTGATGGGGCAGGACCTTCATCAGAGCAAGCCTGGGGCTCATTTCTGTCTGCACACCCCCCCCCCGCCCCCCCGGTGCCCAGGGACAATTGCAGGCAGGAGTGAACGGCTGCAATGTGAGTTGGGGTTAGACCTCCATGCATCTGGGGAGGTCTAGTTTAGGGTGAAGGGTCTACCCTCACAAAGCCAGAGATCTTTAGAGTTTCTCTGGCCCTGACCAGCACCACTGCCAAACCACTGGGTGTGAGACTCTGCATTGGGGCCAAAGAATGCAAGAGACTCAGAGAGATATGTGTCCCACGAGGCCTGTGGTCACCCAGGGGCAGACTCTGAGCATGGCTGGTAATGGAAACTCTCAAAGGGACCCTTTGATGACAGGGCTGGATCCATCTTCCACAGGCTCCAGCTCACGGGCCCTTTATCGTCACTACTGGGTCTCCAATGCCCTCTCTTACTCTAACTCCATATTTCCTTGGCCTCTCATCCCCATTGGTCCCATCAGCCTGTGAAACCAGAATTCCACCTAGCCTTGAAAATACAGCCGGGCAGGGTGGCTCATGCCTGTAATGCCAGCACTTTGGCAGGCCAAGATAGGAGGATTCTTTGATCCCAGGAGTTTGAGACCAGCCTGGGCAGCATAGCAAGATCTTGTCCGTGAAAAATAAATAAGTAAGCAAACAAACAAACAAATAAATATTGTTCGGACATGGTGGTACATGCCTGTAATCCCAGCTAGTAGAGAGGCTGAGGCCGGGAAGATCACTTGAGCCCAGGAGGTTGAAGTTGTGGTGAGCTATGATTGTGCCACTGCACTCCAGCCTGGGTGACGAGTGAGAACTTTTTCTCCACTAAGAATAAGGCGGGGGGGGGAGAAAGAGAGACAGAGAGAAGGAAGGCAGACAGGCTGGCTGGACTTCATCATGCAAGGAGTTGGCAGCTACAGGTGTCAGAGTTGAGAGGTCTCATTTCTACCCAGAAGGGCCCCCACTGTGCCTGGGTGAGGGTTGGGCTCAGGTCTGGGTGGAAGACAGGGGACGAGCCCTTCACCCTCCCTCTGGGGCTACAGGTCACTGACTGCAGCACTGAGAAGGTTCAAGGCCAAAGAGGACATAAGAGCAAAACAAAAAGGGAAGGCAGTGGGTCGGGGGTCCTTCTGCAGTAGCCAGGGTGCTCCTGGGGGATAGTGTCCTTGGACACCCCACACAGGTGGGGAAGGGGAGGCTTTTCTCCCCTGCAACTCTGGGTCTCTCCTTTGACCTGCAGCTCGAGAGGTGAAGAGATCGTCCGTCTGCAGATCACGACACCCAGGGCAGGACTCCGCCTGGTGGCCCCGGACCTGGAAGGCGTGAGGTAGGGATCCCCGCTGCAGCCCCACACACCATTCTAGAGACGGGACTGCAGGCTCCGGATGAAATGATGAGGCCTGGGCTGGGGCTGCTACCATGGGGCTGACAGGTTGGTGGGAGGCGTGGCCGAGCTCGGTTCTCTGCCTGGTCTCATTCTCTCCCTCAACAACCATTGTGGAGAGAGTGCTCGGTCCCTATGAGGCCACAGGCCTGGCCCTGGGACCCCGTGGTCAACGAGACCCCCTGAGCTGCAGTTGCTGGTCGGGGAGGCAGACACCGATGTGAGCTTGTGCAAGGTCACACCGGCGATGCTGACCCTGCTGTGTGATGCTGGCCCCCTGGGGAGTGACAGGGCAGTTTAGCTCTACCAAGCCCTGGAAACGGGACCGGACAGCCGTGCTAAGGAGGGACACTGAGTCTGTGAGCCCATGAAGTCCACTAGGGCTGCCACTTTGCCAGTGTGAAAGGCCATGGGGAATGAGGTGGGGTCACTGGGTTAACATTCACAGCCCTGGATGCCAGGTCCTATGCCGGGGAGGGGGAGGGGCAAGGGGGCTGTGAAGGCCAGAATCTGGGTTCATCTGACCTTCCTGGAGGAAGCAACATCCAAAATGAGTCCCGAGTGATCTCTAGGACCCTTACTATCCTCCTTCTCACTTCTCTCTTTAACCCTGTTTGCTTCTACCCCACCCCCAGTCTGGTGTTGCGTCCTGTCCATTTTATTTTAGAGCTATTTTCATCCCTTCTGCCCTGTCCCGGGTCCAGGCTTCTACTGTCACTCATCCCAACTGTCCTCCACACATCTGCCTGGGTGGCGTTTCCAAAAGGTAGAAGTAGCTCTCCCTTCCTGGGCCTTTCTCTGTGCAGGCTGAGGCCCTGCCTGGGATACCCTTTCCTGTCTGTATTTTTCAATTCCACCTCAAATGTTTCTCCTCCGGGGCACCTTCCTCTCCCGCATTTCTTCCCCATGCAGCATCTGAGGGAGTGGTTGATTCTGCACAGCAGCAGTAGGGTACGGATGTAGTCACTATGCCCATTTCACAGATGAAGAAACTGAGCCCCGAATGGGGAAGCAACTTACTCAAGGTTGCGCGATCAAATGCAGGCACTGCTCTGGTGGGGGCGGGGCAGGAGGGACAGAAAGATGTAGTATTTACTGAATGAACTCATTTGTTGAGTTTACTTGTAGGTATCCAAGTATACATTTTCGGGGGAGGGACCTGAGGGTGTGTGGTGTTGGTCTGGGAGGGAGGTCAGGACACGAGAGGTTTCCACATTCTATGCAGACAGAATCAAGGACAAATAATGCAGCTGAGTGTCACATGGGGTGCGTATTGAGGGAATGGACACAGACCCTGTGTGTAGGTGGCAACCACCTGGCCGTCCCTCCTGGGGGGCACTGGGGGAGGACGGTCACTTCTGGCCATGTTGAGAGGGAGCTGCCTGAGGGTCAGTGGAGAGGCAGTGAGTATGTGGGAAGAAGTGGAGGGTGTTAGTTCAAGGTTGCAGTTGATGCTATGGGAGGGGAAAGGAGGTAGCCCAGGAGCATGTGGAAAGGCAGGGAGGGATGCTGGGAACATTTAGGGAGTACAAGTGGAGGAAAGTAGGCTACTTGCCCGGCTCGGTGGCTCAGCCTGTCATCCCGCGCTTTGGGAGGCCGAAGTGAGTGGATTGCCTGAGCCCGCGGGTTCGAGACCCGCCCCGGGCAAGTTGGCGAGACCTCATCTCTACAATAAATCAAAAATGAGCCGGGCGTGGTAGCCCGCGCCTGTAGTTCCAGCTACTTGGAAGGCTGAGGCGGAAGGATCGCCGGAGCCCAGCAGGTCGAGGCGGCCACTGCACTCCAGTCTGGGTGACCGAGTGAGACTCCAACTCACAAAAAAAAAGAAAGAAAGAAAGAAAAGGAGGCAACCAGGACAGGGAGGTAGGAGGTTGTGTCACAGAGTCAAGAGAGGCCAGATGGCAAGAAAGCAGAGTAGCCCACTGGGTTGACAGGACAGAATGGTGGCTTGAGATAGTGATGGAACGGGCTCTGCTCTTCCTCTTATTACTTGTGGAAGTTAGGACAAGTTGCTCAGGCTCTCTGTGCCCCGGTTTGTTCGTCTGGAAAATGGGCCTGGATGATAACAGTGTCCATGTCATGTCCTGGGGTTGATGAGGAGGCCGAATGCACATCAAGTCACAAGAACAGACTCCAGCCCTCCAGAAACAGCAGCTGTCAGTGATGAGGCATTTGAGAGTGAGGTAGCTACCCCCACTGAGTGGCTGATGCACAGCTAACTTACGTTTTTTTCCCCATAGGTCTTCCCCAGATCACAAAGACAAGGAGGTTCCCTGCTCCAGAGAGCCCCAGAGAGACCAGGCTGGTGAGGAGGCCTTCAGGGGCCCCCACACAGACTCTGACAGGTAACTCACTGCAGGGGGCAGATGCTCACCCCAGATATGTCCTGTTCCCAGTGTGTTTCCAGTGCCTGGGGTAGTGAGGTCTTCAGTGGATACCATCGCAAGAAGGACTGAAGAAATGCATGAATGAGGCCCGGAGAGGGGCAGGCTCCTGCCAAGATCCCTCAAGTAGCCAAACTCCAGGCCAGGTCACTGTCCCCACTCTTGGACCATGCCAGATTCCTTCCATTTACCGAAGGCTGCCACACTCACTCTGCTTTTAGTCCAGGACACAGCAGCCCTGCAATGACCAAGGCGAACCAAGCTGGCCATTTGGGGGAGTCAATGACCAAAGGATGCTTGGGGCTCCATGAGCTTCTAGCACGGACTTTCAGATGACCTGGGGATGAAGGGAGACATGCGGAGGATGGCGAGTTGGAGTCATGGAGGGAGGTGATGAGTCCAGGGTGGGTGGCTGTGCCCAGGCTCCCCAAAACCAGCACCCTGACCTGTCCTCCAAGCAGATCAAGGCCTATGAGTGTGGTGAACAGTGGCTACAAACTGGGCATTTCCTCCATGGGACCTTGGTAGCCAGAATGAACACAAACAGAAGGTGAACACAGTGTGGGAATGAGACTTATGATGGGCTCTGCGTGCCTTGTCCATTGCTCTGTTGGCCTCTGGCCGCCTGGCATGTCAGTCCCCTCCTTTCCACCTTGCTCTGTTTCTCAGCTCCACTCTCACCCCCAACCCACCAGGTTTGGAAGAAACACAGACATTTTTTTTTTAATTATTATTTTTTATTATAAAGATGCGGGGGTACAATTCAGGGTTAGGTATGCAAACATTGATCATGTAGGTACCCTTGTTGATGAGGTGTGCCCCTCCCTCCCCTAGCAGTTTCCCTCAACTGTCAATCCCTTTCTTTTTTGTTTTTTTGAGTTGGAGTCTCACTCTGTCGCCCAGACTGGAGTGCAGTG